GCAGAAGAACGAGAAAGCACCAGGCTTTTCGTTTTAGATGCGTTCACACGCATGCCGGTCACGTCGCACTAAGCTGCGAACCTTTCTAGAAAGCAATGAAGATCAGTTTCAGAAAATGCTAATAAAACAGGGTCGTCTGCAAAAGGCAAACTTCTCGTCTTGACATCTCCTACACCGATACACACGTCGCCTTGGCTGCGCTTGACCATGTATTCATTACAACACAAACAGGAGAAGGGACAGAATGCAGCCTTGGCGAAGGACAGTGCCAACGCTGAAAAGGTTCGACTTGACGTCATTTACTCCGACTCAGTACCTGTTATCAGGATATAATAACTGGAGGCCGGTAGCAACTGGCCATCGATTCAATATGTTTGTAGGCATGCCCACTGACTGTGCGAGGTATGCGGTCATAGGTCATCTGCAGGTTCACAAAGTAAATGCAAACCATAAGGCAAAAATCTGGTCAGACATGCTTCCGGTTTCGAAAGACCTGAGGCCACACTACTCTTCGTCTATCCTAGTCGGATATTTCGCAGTACCTCTTTTTCAACATATTTGCGTACATTTTATCCGAAATCTCAATGAGGTATTGCCCAGATAACGGGAGCACTCCCTACAGCTTCCCTTCTTAAAAAGGGATACTAAAATCCTATTCTCCAGTTGGCTCGTGTCGTTCCCATAGCCACTGCAGTTTGGCAGACACGTGTAAGCATACATATATTTCGCTCGCCCAGTCCTCTTAACGTTTCATGGTGAATTTCACCAATTGCAGATGCCTTTCCGCTTTATAAGCATTTCATAACTTGTGCTTTCATCCACTGAAAGTCTAATATCCGTTGTCGCTGCCCTTCAGACAAGACTTCCTCCGGTTGCTCAGGGTAGAGAAGTTCTTTAAAGTATTCTCGTCACTGCCAAAGAATGTTCTCATTCATGGTAAAAAGACTCCAGACTTGTCCTTTTGGAACCTTTAGCTGTTCTTCTTTCTACATCGAAGGTAGTAGACAGTCTGCCGTCTAGAAAATCGACTCAAGCACCTCATCAGACATTTCCAAAAAATGATCCTTCGCCTTGGCCGCTGCTTTCGCTGCCATCTTGCGCGCTTCTACGTACAGCATTGAAGTAGAAGGTTTTATGCATCCAAGCCATCGTCAGAATACAGTCTTCTCAATGAGTGCCAGTTGTACTTCCCGTGTACACCAGTAAGTTCGTTTATGACCACCAAGCAACAAGCCAACCAGTTATAAAAAGGGGCATATGACGGCTGCCCCCGAGAACGTTATTCTTAGAAAGCTTCCACTCGGTTTCCTCATCGGTCATCATCGGGATCTGTTTGAACCGTCGTACGATCTTGCAAATTTCGCTCTAGTATTCACCGAAGATAATGTTTCCCACTTGGTTTTCTGGTTGCTTCTGCCACCAGATAGTCGTCTTAGACTCCATTTCTCATAGCGCAGTGTGCTAACAAGAAGATGGTAATCGGTTGATAGGTCTGTGTCTCTTTTAATACGGACATCCATTACTGAGCGCCTTAAGTTAAATGAAACGATTATCAAGTCGATCATCGACTTCTGTACACAAGCTTTCTTTCATACTGATGTACTCTACGATGCTCGAAAAAGGTATTCATAACGGACAGTCCGTTGTTTGCATAAAACCACAACAACTTCATGTCATTACTCTTGAGGTGGCTAGGGCCGTTCTCTCAAATCACTCCTTTCCCCTTTTCGGTGACTGCTCTGACGTGTATTGAAATCGCCATTACAATGAGGGACTCCATATTCGGCACTTAGTAGAGAACATTCCTTCCACCTACTCAAAGAAAGACTTAAATTATCCCTCCGAACTGGGTGCATAGACCTCTGCAACAAGGTCTAGGCATTAGCCTGTTGTAGCCTTTGTCGGAAGACTGCCACCCCTTCAGTGACAGGCTTCCATTCAACGATTCTGTCAGCCATGCAGGGTTCTACTATAACACCAATACCGGCATGATCGCGCGTTGTGATGTCGACACCTGAGTAGAATAGCTTCCAATCGCAGAGGTTCAGAGTTCCAGAACCTTGGTGCTTCGTTGACGAGATCCCAACTATGCCGAGTTAGTACTCTGCGTCCACATGAACTAGCTCCTGCCCTTTCCATTTGAGTGAGAATATGTCTCAACTTTCGACCGTAAACTTCCACTGTCGGGATCGTTTCCGTGTTGACTTTTCTGACGTGCTATAATGGCATCGCGCAAAAAGCCCCTTCGGTGTAACATCTAAACTGAGAATAACCTAAATACATCTCCGATAGTCTTGGAAAGCTACCAAAAATGACAGTTTTCTGATTCTGCTGCCGGCAATTATCTTTCAACTACTGACACCGACTTTAAATTCTGTGAAAGTCTTTCGGTGCTTGAACGTATTCTTGTTTGATACATCTCGGTTATTCGGTCTCTGCGTCCTATGCACTGCATGCGCCTGAATACAGTGGATCCTTCAGTAGATTTAATGGTCCCCCTAGGTAAGTAGAAGCAACGGGGCGGTGCAATGTTGTGCTAAACCTGATGTAATGACTGACATCAGTCTTGCACTACCGCAATATAGCTGTAAAGCAATTAAATTTACTTTGCGGTACGCGAAGTG